AGCCAGCTTTTTCACTCCTTTCTTTTCATTTTCATCAAGAGGCTCTTTTGTTCTTCTTCACTTTCTGCCATAAGGTTGGTGTTATCTGCATATCTAAAGTTAATGATATATCTCCTGGCAATCTTGATTCCATCTGTGCTTCATCCAACCTGGCATTTCTCATGATGTACTCTGCAGGGAAGTTAAATAAGCAGGGTGACAATACACAGCCTTGATATACTCCTTTCCTGATTTGGAACTAGTCTGTTGTTCCATGTCTGGTTCTAACTGTTGCTTCCTGAACTGCATACAGATTTCTCAGGAGGCAGGTCAGGTGGTCTGGTATTCCCATCTCTTTCAGAATTTTCCAGTTTGTTGTGATCCACACAAAGGCTTTGGCATAGTCAATAAAGCAGAAGTAGATGTTTTTCTGGAACTCTCTAGCGTTTACAATGAAAGAGCTTTAATGGAACTCTAATATCATCCTTGGTGGTTGCTTTTTGATTAATAAGGCCTTATTTGCATTTTGAGGACTTAATTACTTGAGCTTTTTATGAAAAACTCATTTGTGGGAACCTCTGAAATTAGAATTCAGTATATCTGAGGCAGGTTTCAGGACTATATTTGTAAAAAGACTGCAGGTGATTCTCATAGTGGTAGAGACATTGTTTTGAAGTCAGTTTTGAAATTTGTCTTGAAGTTTGAGTTTGTATTTGATGAAGAAAAAAATCATATTCAAATAACTTCATTTCAGTTTTTGAACTTCTCTCCATTCAACATCGTATTGATACCTACAATCCTATGATTCAATTTTAGTTTTAATCATTTTCCTTAGTCAGTCTCTGGAGCAAATGTTTCTGAGCAGTAATGGCTCCAAATTTGATTCTTGAGGAGGAGAGTGGAATAAATGAAGAGCATGGTTAATACTCCTACTGTAATTAGGATCCCTACTGCAGAAAGAAGCATCATGTCCAAAATATCCCCACATGGTTTCAGAACGTAATGCGGATAATATTGAATATATTTTCCTTTCCTTTTTTTTTTTTTTCAGTTTTTCTTAGGACTGCTTATGATCCTACTCCTGCAGGTGGCAGCAGGTATCCTAGCAACTACTAGCAAATCTAAGGTGTGTACACTTATTATACCTGACAGTTTTGGAAAAGTCTGAAAAATTGACATGCTACCTCCTGGCATGAATCATTTAGCAGCACTTTTCAATTTTCAGACTGAACAAACTCTGAATAAGACTCTCATGATTAATGCACGTCTTTTGAGTTCAACAAATGAAAATGAAAGAGTATTCCAGAAAGTCTTTTCTGAACTTCAAGGAGAGGTAATTAGAACTTGTGGGTTATTTGGAGAGTAGACACAGTTTTCCTTTTACTTAATTTTTGACAGGTGTGTTCCTTAAGAATTGGAAAAATGTCTCCCTTTTGCATACTTTGACCAATTATTCTGTCACTATGCAATAAGAAGAATCTGGGACTATTTCTAATTTTTCCCCCAGCTTCTTATGAAGTTCTGAGGCAGTTTAGGACAGATATTAAGAGGATATGTTTATGATAGATTAAGTCTTGATTGAGCGAAATCAATAATTGCTTTATTATTTACCATTTCAAAGGATAGTGTGTTTTGAATGCTTGGAATTTCCCTTCTCTCTTTCTCTGCCTCCATGCCCCACTTCTTTTAAAAACAATTATAGCTATTGTTTGTTGTCGGAGAAGGCAATGGCACCCCACTCCAGTACTCTTGCCTGGAAAATCCCATGGACGGAGGAGCCTGGTGGGCTGCAGCCCATGGGGTCACTAAGAGTCGGACACGACTGAGCAACTTCACTTTCATTTTTCACTTTCATGCAATGGAGAAGGAAATGGCAACCCACTCCAGTGTTCTTGCCTGGAGAATCCCAGGGACGGGGGAGCCTGGTGGGCTGCCGTCGATGGGGTCACACAGAGTCGGACTCGACTGAGGGGACTTAGCAGCAGCAGCAGCAGCATTATCTTTAATAGACAGATGAGGGGATTAGAACTTAGAGAGGCATGACAGCTAACAAGTGATGGGGTTGGAATGTGAATGCAGATCTCTCTGACTCACTAATTCTTTTTAATCAGTAGGCTAGCCCCCTCCCCCTAGGTATGTATGTATGTATGTATGTATGTATTTACTTTGGTTACTTCACTGTCTTCAGGGTAAAGTCAAGATTTGGACAGAGGTGAAGGTATTCCACTATCTGGCTCCTACCTTGTATTTTAACTTTACTAAAGACAACTCCAGAAAGCACTGTGGTCCAACCAGGCTTGTCTACTCAGGATGTCTTAAATAATTCTGCCTCATCCTTGGAATGTACTTACTACTTTTCTTTTTCTTTTTTTGACTTGCTTTCTTTAAAAAAAAATTGGAGGATAATTACAATATTGTGATGGTTTTTGCCGTACATCAGTATGAATTGGCCATGGGCATACATGTGTCCCCCCCTTTGGAATCCCCCTCTTTCCTCTATCCCCCCAGCTGTTGCAGATCACTGGCTTTGACTGCCCTGTGTCATACATCAAACTCCCACTGGCTATCTGTTTTACATATGTTAATGTATATGTTTCAATGCTATTCTCTCAAGTCATCCCACCCTCTCCCTCTCCCACTGAGTCCAAAAGTCTGTTCTTTCTTTACAAATACTACCTGAACTTTGAGACTTCACTGAAATATCGCTCTGTGAAACTCCTCCCCTCTACAGTTTATTTACCCAGAATTTCCATCATATTAATGACATGTAGCATTTATTTCATGTATATCATAGAAACCCTCAGAATCTCAGAGTAGAGCAGGATTTTACAGGACATTTAAGCTGACTTGTCATTAACTGGGGCTTCCCAGGTGGTACTAGTGGTAAAGAACCCGTCTGTCAATGCAGGTAGATGTGAGATGTGAGTTTCATCCCTTGGTCTGGAAGATCCCCTGGAGAAGGGAATGGCAACCCACTCTAGTTTTCTTGCCTGGAGAATTCCATGGACAGAGAAGCCCGTTGGGCTACAGTCCATAGGGACGCGAAGAGTCGCACATGACTGAAGTGACTGAGCACACACATCATTAACTGAAGTATTTTGTGTTTATGTCCATCCACCTTCTAACTAAGTATGGAAGAGCCAACAGTTTGCCCATTTTGCCCATCCCATCCCATTCCCTTTGCATCTAAGTCTGATGATTAGTGTGTTCTTTCTTAATTCTATATATATAGAATTTATATAATTTAGTTTTAGTTCTTCCTCATGGAGTTTCAGAGGAAAAAGAAAATCTACTTCTACATATTGCAACTTTTTCTTTGAAACTGGCTTCTTGTATGACTTCTAAGAGCTTTGATTTTCAAGTCAAAACATCCTAACATCCCTGGTTTCTTGAACTATTTATCAGATGACATTTCCCCCAGAGCCCAGTTCCTATTTGGATAGACTCCAGCTTGTAAAAATTCTGCTTAAAGCATCATTTCCAGGAGCTGAAACCTGATATGAGTTAGTCCCTGTTTATCTTCCTCTGTGTTGTGTTCCTCCTAGCTCAGCCAGAGCTGCATTCCTTGATCCTCTCTCCTCCTGGATAATTCCTACTTTAGAGTCCAGATTAATCCAGATTTAAAAGCAGGAAGAATTTAGGCAACTCAGCTTCTCCACTGGGAGGGGCCAAGCATCCTTGATTTTCCCTGTTAATCTAGGACGAAATATACTACTGGTAACCACGGGGTCTCTGGGTTGGTGCATGTTGTCCTTGGTATCCAAGGTCTTAGTGTCATCCATGGGATTCTAAATGTTCTGTTTGTTGTAGCACAATTCTTTTTTAAAAAATATATGTACATTTATACTTTTCTTCTGAAGACAATACACTTACTGTCAGATATTTTGATACTGAAGCTGAAGCTTCAATAATTCAGCCACCTGATGTGAAGAACCAACTCACTGGAAAAGACCCTGATGCTGGAGAGATTGGGGACAGGAGGAGAAAGGGGTGATGTGGATGAGATGGGTGTATGGTATCACTGACTCAATGGACATGAGATTATGCAAACTCATGTTTGGGAGATAGTGAAGGACAGGGAAGCCTGGGGTGCTGCAGTCCATGGACTTGCACAGAGTTGGATGCGACTTAATGACTGAACAACAACAAATAATTGCTTTACAATGCTGTATTAGTTTCTGTTGTACAGTGAAGTGGATCAGCTATTTGTATGCATACCTCCCCTCTTGCATGTCCCTCACACCCCTCATCCCAGCCCTCCAGGTCATCACAGAGCACTGAGCTGAGCTCCCTGTGTGGAGCACAATTCTGACTTATTTCCATGCATGAATTCTGTGCCTGAAGCTTCTTGGGTTCACAGGACGGTGGTTCTCTTTTACAGAATTGTCTATTCTGGTTTTTGTTTGTTTTACAACATATATCCACCAGGACTTTCTTTTCTATTTTTCAGTAATGCTTCTTTGGAAAAAGAAAACTCTGGCTGGGTGGCCTGGGGTCCCATCACACAGAAATAATTTGTAGTTACTAAGTGACTTTCTTTTTGGTTTTCAGGGAATTCCCACACAAATTCTCTGCTAATATACTAGTAGAACATGCCCATCTTGGATTCTTGGAAATGGCTATTTGTATCATTCACTGAGAAGTGCCTTGTTCATCCAATGCTATTACAATTTCAATACATCCCAACCAACTTCTTCCCCAGCTGCTCCCACACCTGATCTCATGACTAGATTCCAAACCAAGTCTAGCCTTTCTACATCCTGCTCTGTCTCCTGTGTATCTCTATGCTGTCTTAAGGGATACTGTATTCCAAAAATGGATTGATCTGTGAGTGTCTATAGTGGGATTTATATTCTTTTTGATCTGCTGTGTCTGTATCAGTTAATACAATTCAAGTTTATTTAATCAGAAAGAGTGAGCAATTGATTGTGTCTACTGTGGAAGCAAGGAAAGAAGGTGTTTCAAGATTACTTTCTTTGTTAATACTGATTGACCTTGAAACCTGAAATCTCCAACTCTTTGTCATGTGAATATCTAATGAGTCATATATTTGTGCAAGTGAATCTTTGAGCCAAATCACAAGGCTTTATATCTGCTACAGTTTGGACCTGCTGAAGGCCATTGTGTGAAATATCTTTGGAAATCCAGTTTGCACTCAAGTGTATTAATCATTATTCCCATCTCTATATCAACTATAGAGTTGAAAAGGTATTTTCCATAATGTTATCTAAAGTATTCATATTGGTGTTGAACAGATCCTGTTCATGTGAGAGTGTAAAGCAATAACAACAACCACCACAAAACACAATCAACAGTGATGACAACATATGTTGAGTACTTTCTGGCCCAGGCATTGGGCTAAACACTTCATATCTTCACATGGATATTCTAATTTTATCTTTACAACAAATCTATGAATAAATTAGACTATCATTAAAAACTATCATTATCTGTATTTTACAGATGAAGAAATTGTGGCATAGAGAGGTTTAAGGAACGTGAGTAACATAGTCACTCAGTAAGTGAAAGTCCTTTTGATATCCTTGTATGGCAATGAATCTGAGCCTTAGAAAACCACCCAGTCTTGGTTCTATTTTCTTAAGCATTTTTTTCTTCTTTTCTGCATGAAAAGTTTAGTCTCTAATTAGAGCAAATATGACAAGATGAGAGAGAATTACCTCTCACTTTCATCTAATAATACTATAACCCATTACTAAGAGTCATTGGGCTTATTGCTTTCTTGTTATCCTTTCCCAAACATGACCACAATTTCTCTTAGTGTTTGCCCATGTTTAGTTGCCTTAGGAAACATCACTTCAAACAAAGCTAGTGGAGGTGATGGAATTCCAGCTGAGCTATTTCAAATCCTGAAAGATGATGCTGTGAAAGTGCTGCACTCAATATGCCAGCAAATTTGGAAAACTCAGCAGTGGCCACAGGACTGGAAAAGGTCAGTTTTCATTCCAATC